TGCTTTATTCCACCAGATGATGGACTTTCATCTGTAGACAAAGAATGTAAAGATTCTGGACTACAAGGTGATTGTATATTACTCAATGAAATATCATGACTAATTGCATATGGATTAATGTTGGTAGCAGTACGATTTAATGAACTAGATCGTAAATGATGCATTGTATTTGATAAACAGCTTACACCATTGAACAGTAATGGTGGCTGCGAAGCATATGGATGTGGTAATGGAAGACCATTTTGATTCAATCCAGATGTTGAATTCGATGAGAGTGAGGAGAGTGGAGGATTCGGAAACAGAAGACCTGCTGTTGAACTGTTAAAATTAAAACCGGTCAATGACTTCACAAACGAAGATGCAGCAGCAGAAAGACTTTGTTGAGTGATTGGATCAAATGGAAGTCCAGTATCTCCTGAATCCACTGAAAGTGTTTGATGATGGTTATGATGATGTGTTTGGTGAAAATGGGCATGTTGATTCGACTTCATTTCCTTATTAGATGGAGGTGATTGATCGGAACTGAAATCTCTCATATTATTAGCTGTTGTTACTGTTGATGATACTGATGAGAGAGAGGAAGAGGAAGAGGATGGTGGACAATCTGAATGAGATAAATTATTAAAAGGATACGCTGAATTCGGTCTCATAGGACTTGTAATATGCTGTGGTTTCATATCGGCAGTATAACCTATATAAGAAAATGATAAAGGGAATATAAATTTAGCAAGATAAAAATATTATATTTATTCGGAAAATTATTTACGGTTAAATGGTAGAAATTTTTTGGAAAACATTTTACTCTCAAACTAGACGTCATTACCGAAATCTTTGCCGATAGTGTGTTGAATATGAGCGGGATGAGAATGATGGCACGAATAAAAAATTAGATTTTTGTTAATGGTAGTAGTAGTAGTAGTAGTAGTCTGGTGTGTGCCACTGATGTCAACAGATGTAAGTCGTAAGTATCAACAATTGAAAGTGGAATGTCTGGCTGTGGATGGTAGAGAAAATCGAAGAGAAGAGGACGAGAACAAAGAGTGGTTGATATGGAAAAGAAAAAACAACAAATTCTGAGACAATTGATGGAAATTTCGCAAATGAAGTATTTACTATATGGTTCTCAGATTCTGTAACGTTCTATTAAAATACATTTGATTGTTCCCGCCTGTGGCCTAGTTCACTACAGTAGTAGTAGTAGTAGTAGTAGTAGTGTAGTAGTAGTAGTAGTAGTAGTGGTAGTAGTAGTGGTAGTAGTAGTAGTAGTAGTAGTAGTAGTAGTGGTAGTAGTAGTAGTAGTAGTAGTAGTAGTAGTAGTAGTAGTAGTAGTAGTAGTAGTAGTAGTAGTAGTAGTAGTAGTAGTAGTAGTAGTAGTAGTAGTAGTAGTAGTAGTAGTAGTAGTAGTAAGATAAGTACTATTTTCTTTTTTTAATTGACTTCTCAATGCTCGTTTTAATAATGAAAGGCTATTACTATTCAAGTAATTGATTAGTAGTGACCACTGTAAGGCAATAATATAGTTTTCATTATTGATGACCTTTAAAAATTATAGAATGTATAATGTAAATCATTTTTCAACCAATATTAAATTATCATTATGGGGTTGTGGAGATTGTTGGGTTTAGATTGATATCATAGACGGATCAACGTTAGGTCGCCAGTGAAAGCCTGGAAGCACTGGGCTGCCGTTTTTCCTAGTATAGGACTAGCGAGAAGTGCACATCGACGATCCTTCACGTGGAACTCGATCCCGGGACCTTCTGTCCGGCGCACGAATGCTTAACGTCTAGACCACTGAGCCGGCATTCAACGGTGTTAATGTTAAAATTCAACCAATCCACGACATTACGCAATCATCTTCCATTGTTTTTAGTGAGTAACCATCTCACAACAGACACGGTTGTGATTAGTGGAGTTCAACCGTGTCTGGTGGGATGCATTTACCCACCTCAAGTTTTCAACGGTAGTCTGACATTGATCTACTCATGATATCAATCTAAACTCAACAATAAATTATCTCCTAACAACTGTAGTGCAGTTGGATGTTTCAGCATCCAACCTAGACATTTTATGAAATCTGTTTACTAAATAAGATGATTTAACCTGTGAGTTAGCGATATATTCGTTGATCAAACAAAAAAAAAGAACAATTAACCACTCATTATTTCTTACACTTGGATTTCTAGCCAGTTCATAGTATTACACCATTATGCTTTCCACTAGAGCAACAGATTCATCTTTACAATTAATTTCTTTCCAATGAAAATAATTTGCTAAACTGTCAGAATGGATACAGAATTACAATCAAGTTATCCTATGTAAATATAGATTTCATTATCAGAATATTCAGTTCAAAAGAAACTAGATATTTAATAAGAAAAATCTTCTTTTGAACAAATTGCTATCTCACTTAACACATACACGTACAAATACATAGTCCTTTTTTTGTTTCTCACTTCTCGTTTACATTATTCTTAGTACAATGTTTTGATAATAAGAATTCTCTGGACATCAACATACATTCACACATACACACACACACACACTTACAAATACATATATGTAGTTATATATCATTCAATAATTATTAAGACAAGCAAATTCAATTTGGCCAGACAAAGGAAAATGACCTCAATGAAATAAATTAATATTGATATATCATATTTGTAACTCATCGTTACCACAATAATAATAATAACGATTAGTATTATTATTATTATTACTGTTACTGTTATGTATATTGTTTTGTTTATTACTTTCATCATAGTCCAAAACAAACTATGACAACAGTGATAAGAATGTATACCAATCAATGGAAGAAAGAAATGCTTGACCATAACACTTCAATTCATTGAAGCGTTTAGTTTTTATGACGAGGTTTCTTCAAGTAAAGCAGGAGAAGGTGGAGAAGAAGAAAAAGAAAAGAAATCAATCTTTTTTGTTGAATAGGTAAAAACATATGAGTAATCTGAATTTATTTATCAGTAATAATTTGTCACTTTCATTGTTGTGGCAATGGGTTATAATAATTCATATATATATACAGACATTTTAGAGAAATAAAAATCAATTTGAGGATAATGGCTAAGACGTGTTCGATGTATTAGCGTTAGTGTTGATCTAGGTATTTTTTTTAATTAAACACTTGGATAGTTTCACTTATGCTCACACTAACTAATCAGTAAGAAGTAACCAATGTCATGTTTTTCTAGCCTTTAGTGCTGATTGAATTCTACCGATCAGGTTTTATAGGGGCTACTAGTTCAAGTGACTCGAACTCGACATCCACAATGTATTGTGTTATGTAGTTGGAGACAATCAACAGAAAGCTTTGAACCTAGGTTTCCAGATAGTTATCGCTTTTAAGTAAAGCATATCTACAATTTAAAATGAGATTAAAGTTCATCGGGACATTCATATTTGTGTGTCACGATCAGAGATATTTTCATAGAGCAATATATACTGTATATAAGCCCCTGTATGATTAATGTATTTTATATCAAATAGCAACGGATGTCATGTTGTCCAATCCTAATTTAAGTTCCCTTCCACTTTTTATCCTTTTTTTATTTTTTGTTACCAACTAATTATAAACAAGGAATGATTTATTGTTTACGGTAAATTAATATTGAGGATTTTCTTCAGTGGATAATATTTTTTAGAAATGCACTAATGTTTTAGTCATTACTATCATGTAAATCATTAAATTGATGGATGACACATTGTGATTTGTCTGTGATAGAATTGTCTTATATAAATAAATTTTTTTTACCAATATTCACTGATGCCGATTCAAAAATATATGCTCTCATCATCAGGGGTAAATTTGAAAGCGAAATAGACCATTATGTAAGAAATGTATTGCTTGACAATAACGATGTTTCGACGAAAAGACTCTACAGTTGTAATGATTTATTTTGTCAGCGGTTCGAGACAAAGTTTGCTTAAAACTATACTAGTTCCTAGTTTTCATGTAGCCTCAAAGTTTACCAATAAATTGTCAGGGTTAGTGAAAAAACAGTGAATAATATTTCAGCTATAATGTCATTCATAATGGTTATCCTGATACTAAAGATCGATCACTTAATAGGTGAGTGTTGCATATAAGACAGTAATTTTCATAGGAGATTTAATGTCAAGCTTTAACTTCACCATTTTCGTGTTTTACATGTAGAATTTTGTGCTATGCTACATTGATGTGTTCATAGCACATATCTACGGATAACTCTAGACGTTTTAAATGAAATTTTTACTGAAAAATACATTCTACTATGTTAAATTCACTCAATCGCTGGACAGAAAAGTTGATTAAAATGCTGGATATAACACATCTGTTGCGAATAACTTCAACTATTACATGAAGTAATCTTGCCGTAACCTATCTATTCTATTCTTTCTTTTGTTTACTTCATTAAATTTAATATTCCCAGCTAAGATTTCGGTTATTCCTTAAACTGTATTACATAAGATAGCTTACTGTATCATGCAGTTCAGAAAAAACTTGTGTATATCTTTATACTTTCTTCAAATAAACACCATTTAATGATGGAAAAAGAAGGTAAGCACAGCGTTCTATCTTAAGTTGAAAAATTAAGTATACAAAAAAGGATCCAAAAGGATTCAAATTTTTCAGTACTTGTTTGCACGGAATCTTTTCATAGTTAGGATAATTTATCAGATTACCAGAAATATCCAGTTCGTGAATATGAGGAAAATCTTAGTAAATAAGTTGAAAACGAATTCTAAAGTTAAATTTAAATATTGTTCTAAGTCCAATGCTTCATAAACTTTACAGAATTTAAACGTTATTGAATTTGAAGCACAAATCAAATGGTTTTGAAATGTAATAGAAATCTAACCAAGAATATGTTCCTGTAGTCAGAGTATAACACTTAAAAACTAACTAGGCTTTTAAATCTTCTATTCTAATTTTGAATAATCTAAATAGGCATGAACTTGGATATCCACCAATGACTACTAGCGGTAATTCCACCGAATCGCTAAGATGATGATGATGATGATGATGATGATGATGATGATGATGATGATGATGATGATGATGATGATGATGATGATGATGATGATGATGATGATGATGATGATGATGATGATGATGATGATGATGATGATGATGATGATGATGATGATGATGATGATGATGATGATGATGATGATGATGATGATGATGATGATGATGATGATGATGATGATGATGATGATGATGATGATGATGATGATGATGATGATGATGATGATGATGATGATGATGATGATGACTATTACCCACTAGATTAAGACCTCAAAGATATTGAAATGGATAAGCTAAAAATCACAAAAGAAGTAGTACTATAGAGTATTGTAATGAAACAAAACGTTTGTCTAGTACTATGTATATTTGAATGATTTAATAGTATCAATTATTTTTTATGCTTAAACCACTAAATAATAAAAATACAAATTGACCATGTGTTACATTTTTCTTATTTAAATGACTGTCAATGAATAGTTTACTTGTTCTAGGAAAAGAAAAGAAAAACACCTCAGGTAATTGGATAAAAATAACACTATATAGGTGTTAAACATATTTTAAATTCGAACCAACTAACAATTTGGCCATCTGTTTATTTCCTTAATTATAACAACAGGACATTTAACTCATTCAATTCTCAATTGTTTGAGTAAATGAATGAATACAGTAAAAAAAGATTAAACAGAATCATAGAAGAATAAAAACATGGAATAATTTCAATAAAACAACCGGACATACAATTCATTATTTTGCGTGACTTTTATCATAATATTATCAACCAAAAGGTTTAAACATACATGTACCTACACACACACACACACACACTAACCAACTAACTAACTAACAAAATAACATCCAGATTTATGATGATAGCTACTATGAAACATAAAAATGATTTGGTCCATTCTCTTGAATGTTCATATTCATTGTTATTAATCATGTTGTTGCAAAACAGAAAAAAAAGAAAAAAAGAAAACTAAAAAAAAACTAAAGAAACTTTTTGAAAGTATTTAGTTAGTTATAAAAGAAATTGATAAAATAAAAAGAGAAAAAAACGTGAAAAAAATAAATTAAAATTAACAGATATGATGGTGATGCTGATGATCAATGACTTAGTTTTTCTATCTTAATACTTTAAAAAGTTTGTAAAACTGTAAAAATGAGGGAGAAAAAAAGAAAAAAAGGAAAAAGAAAAATGACATTGCGTGTACCATTGGGAAATGTCTAAAAGATACTCATATGTATATATATATATATATATGCATGTCTATACCCGTTTAGCTGTTGTTCAATTATTTCTGAAGAAAGGTGATTTCATAGTCTTTTGAAGTTTAAGAATTATGTAACATTTAGAAGGTAAATATATATATATATATATATATATATATATATATATATATATATAAGGGGTTGTCTTTATAAATGAATGATCAGATCCCATGTGGGATTTGTAAGAGGTGTTTTTATTACTATAATTATATGACAATTATATAAACCAGAATTCTAAAGCAATACATTATTATTTTCCTTATAAAGATTAATGAATTCATTTCTTAACAGCCTTTAATTATTGCAATGTTTGATGTCAGCTATTATGTAATTATTAGAAGAAAATTATTGTGATGGTGAAGAAGATTTGTAGCTCAGGTGGATAATTTTGGTGGAGTTTTGTTCTCTGAGCTGGATGGTTTGGTCGTGGAGCTTTCATCGTTCTTCTGAACGACATCATTAGCACAAACTTCATATAGAAGTGAAGTGTTCGAATTTCTCTATATGTGTTTCACAGCTTGTTCTGTGCACCTCGATGTTGATTGGTTCTTATTGACCTTAAATTTATCATTGTTTACTTCTTTGTTTTGGTTGTGTCTCCCATTGGTTTGGTTTTTGTTCCTATATTTGTGCATGATTTCCCTGATTGGTTGGTAAATTGGATGGATTTCAATATGCTTGTTGATTGCTGATTGATCTGAGTGCCAGGCTTCTAGAAATTCTCTGGTGTTTTTGGAGTTTCCTTTGTCTAAGATTTCCACATTTTTCCAATCGAATGAGTGTCCGCAGTTGTCCACGTGTACTGATATAGGTGAGGAGATATCATGGCGTTTGACTGCTAATTGATGTTCGTGTAGGCGAAGGTGAAGGGGGCGTCCGCTTTGTCCGATGCAGTGTTTGTCGCATTTGGCACAGTTTATTTTGTAGATGATGTTTGATTTGTTTTCCTTTGTTATTTCATTCTTTGGTTTGCATAGGATTGATTGTAGTGATTTTGTCGGTTTGTGTGCCATTCAGAAAAACGATGAAAGCTCCACGACCAAACCATCCAGCTCAGAGAATAAAACTCCACCAAGAAAATTATTGTATTTAACAATGTATATTTGAAGTGTTGTCAGTAAGTAGATTGTAGTAGAATATTTATTCATGTATTATTCATCAATGACATACATTGATAGATCTCAATGAAATCTTTACTAACAATGAATTACTACTTTGATGAACTGATCTATTTATACAGTACAGTAATCAACTCTATGTTCATCACTATACAAGATCTATTATTATCTTGAAGATATTCAATTAGCATAAACAAAATTTTAATATACACTAATACCTTTCAACTAACCATGTACTTTTGCTGAATGAATAGCGGAATACTTGATGAATAAAAAATCAAACTAATATTGACATATTTCAGTAATAAAGATTTAAAAAAATCAGTTATATAAAATCGGCGGTTAATCAAACGTTATGCTTAACATCATGGTTTATGTTACTTCCTAATGTCAAATGAATTAAGGTTGTGAAAAACTATACTCTAACACTGTGTTCAGAGTTTGGATGGTAATTTCAATCATTTTTCAATTACACCAATTGTCGATATTATATTCTATCGTCATCGTGTTGAGTATTCCTACTTCTTTTTACAAAAAGGACACTGAAAGTATATATTACTACATAAATTGATTAGTGACATAAATTTGGCAGTGAGATTAACTGTTATTGTACATTTATAGCTATATAGTTTCAACAATTGAAGCCATAGACTTACAAAGATGAAGCTCGTTTTAGTCAACAAACAGGACAATAATTAAACTCCTGTCCAATGCTCTCTGGTTTTCAATGATTCTATAGTTGATGTTAGTATCTGATTCAAATTTATTCGTATTTAGATAAACTGATATCTAGACCGAACTATATCTTTAAAAATGATTTGATTGAGTAATGGTCATTAATAAAAGATTAATTTTACCATATATTGCACCCTAAATAAACCATCATAGATAGTTGGACTTATCACAGTAGGTTGCTCACAATTCAATCTCCTTAAATACAAAATAACCATGGGACAAGTGGATTATGATGAATCGTAAATATATTTCTTTTAAATAAATATAAACTACTCATTCGAAACAACAGGATATTTGTAACCAGCTATTAATCATAATTATCTGAAAATCAAAGATGTTCTTGTCAAAATACGTTTCATTAATTTCCAACGAAGATTATTATTTTGAATTGAAATTAATATGTAGAGTGTGTCCGTTACTGATAGGGGAATAAATAAAGAGTGCTGAATCCCCGAATACTACGTTTGAAAATTCATATAACAGTATTCAGTATGGAGTTGGTCTATGCAACTTTCAATAAATCTTTATTGTATTAGTTAGCTTGCTATAATTTTGTGTTGGAGTGACGACTATTCAGTTGGCATATTTTGTCCACCTTAATAACTACATAGTTGAATTAAAGTTGATATAAACTAACTCACCAATACATCTTTAAATGATTTCTCTCACCTACATCACTCTGAGGATTGTCGTTGAAGTATTAAGCATTAGTTATATGGTTTATCCAGTTAGTTTAGATCCTATTCCGTACCAAAAAATTCTGCCAATAGTTTGTAGGTCAGAAATAGAGAATTTAAACTCAATCAAGAACATCAACGCACTAACTCTAATGGTTAGAGGTTAGTCGCGAAATCTAAAATTTCTGTGATCAAACCTATATAGGGTCTTAGGTGAGTATAACATCACTCCATCAACAAAGCGATATTACGTAATCTTTTATTAGTCTTCTCATCTTACATTACCACTAATTACTAATTATGTCGTTTTATCTAATCTAAATTCTTATTCAAGGATATATTACATTTTAGTCATTTCAATATTCGAAAACGCTAAAAAACTTCTTTTTTACTTAGAAATCTTAAATCTAAATCCTGTAATTTTAAAGGATTTTGATACAGGAGATATAGAAATGATTGAGTTTGTAGTTTTATATCACATATTGACCGATTAATTGGGTCTACTATTAAAAAGTAGCATGTATTGTATTGATATTTCCTCTCTATATGAAATCCTACAACAGTATCTAAACACAATCCCATTAAGCATCGAATCCAGAACGTTTGAGCTTTGTAGAGATTTGTTTTTATTAAATTTAGGACGGGGTTTTGTGAAGATTTTGCTAAGTTAATAGTTGATTTCATGAGTCAATTAAAGCTAGACCATTATGCAAAACCTTGAAGCACTGGACGGCCGTTTCGTTCTACTGTAGGATTCCACAGCAGTGCGCATTCACGGTCTCGCTCAGCAAGATTCGAACCCAATACCAATCAGTCTCGTGCGAGCGTTTAACCTCTAAACCACTGATCCAGCATCCAACGGTGTCAATGTGTAACCTCAACTAATCCACGAAATTGAGCGACGTATTGATTAACGACATATAGATGAATGAATGAAATTCTTTTAAAATAAATCTCTATCAAGTTCTATCTACCATCATAAATTAAAATGGTTAGTCAAAAATGTTAAATAAATTCAGTAGTTGAATCCATGAATCAATCAAAGCTCAGCACTGTGCATCCATGATCCCGCCCGCGGAATTCGGACCCAGAACCTATCAGTCTCACGCGCGAATTCTCGAATGCAAATGATAGATCATGGGTTCGAATTCCGTGGGCAGGATCATGGATGCACATTGCTGAGCTTTAAATGGCTCATGAATTCAACTACTGAATTACTAAAATCTCCACAAAAACGCCTTCTAATATATTAAATATATTTTAATATGAAACAAATTTATTTCAATATTTGAAGCATTAAAATTTATTCAAACCTGTACTACATCGAGGAAGAATAAGAGGAAGATTCTGATTTTAGAATATTTTTAAATGATGATTTTTCTTTTTGATTAAACTAACCAAACGGTTTGATAAAAAAAATAATAAAAGAAAGAAAAATTATACCGTTCACCTAATTTTTTTGTTTTTATTCACCCTTTTTTTCTTTTTCTTTATGTTAGTTCCTCTGATATGGGGTTATTGTTTCCTTTATCTTTTTTAAAAAAGAGAAAAAAAATTTTTTTTCTTTTCACAAGCAAAAAAACTACATTTATACTCATGGAATAAGTTATCGACAGGATTTTTTTGTCTTTATTTTAATGGGTTTACATATATATGGGTATAATTCCCAAGTGTCCATCTACTTATTGTCCGAATGGTAATAACATCGTCAATTCTATGAATATGTATACTGTTACTTTTTTCTTCTTTTCATGTTTATTCAGTTTCTATTATTCACAAGAAAAGTATCCATGTCTGCTTGAATGGATCATTTAAAATGAAGAAATAATAATATATATTCTAGAAATAATAGTGTAATCATCATTTTGTTTATCATCCAACTGTTTCTAGTTTATAGATTTAGTTACTTTAAATGGAACATTATCTTACTATTTTCTATTTCATATTTCATTGTTTTAAATATAATAAGGTTAGACAATATTTTATCTACTGTATAATTAACAAATAGAAACTTTTATCTTTCAATATACATTGTATTGTGTACTTCATGAGAATTGATGTGTATGTAAATGTGTTAAACATAAGCACACATACACACATTTACACATATACACAAACCGTCATATATGCATTTTTAGAAAGAAAAAAAAGAAAGAAATTATGCCCTATGGGCTATTCGTTAATCAGTATATTTATTTTCTTAAGAGGAAACAATAGTCTCTATCCTACCAGAATACATGCACACATACAGACATCAGGAGAAATATTATCAACCTATATATATATATATACACCTTTGTTTAACTTCGATCATAACAGATCAGATTTCTACGTCTAGTATTTTCATGATGTAGTCATAAATTCATTGCTTTAATAAGAAGAAGAATATTGACGGTGATAACGAAAATGATGTATTGATTTACTCATAAAGTGTGTACAATAGAGAACAGCAGTAAATTCTATAATATTATTATTAATAGTCACTATTATTATTGTATGCCTTTTTTTATATCTCCTCTTGCTTATATATTCATCATTGAAACCCTGAAGGCAGTTAACTATATTTACGTTATAGTCCCTTGAGTAAATGTAGTGAACAATTCGTAAATGAATGAATAAATGAAATTGTTCTAATATCTCATTATTTATTGAATTTTGTTCTATTTCACTTTTTTTGTTTTGTTTTGTTTTTAATACAAATTAACTTAACTATTAATTCATTATTTGTACTCTTTTGTATAATTTAGTTATAAATGATCAAATATAGATCCATATATGTACAATAATCAATCAATCAATCAATAAGATAATAAATCAATATTGTCTCTTAGTAAATAATTTATCAATGCAACACCAATAACATTTTAATCTATTTATGAATATAACTCTATATCGAGTGATAATTCAATTGACTTGGTTTTCTTTGGTTGTAACTTCCGATTGTTGTTTAGCACTACAATGGATCAGTCTCTTATTGGCATATGTGCATTCTGTGCGGATTGCCTCAATATGGCCTTAAGTCAAAAACATTATAATCAAAGTTGGATGATGGTTAGCAGTTGAATCCAGGGCGCGCGTTTCATCCTATTTGGGACTCGTCAGCTGGATGTGTCTACATCCCAGAGTTGGTGTTGAACAAGTAAGTGACTATCAGGACTTAGTAGCTAACTGGATAAAACAATGGCGTTTAAAGCGAGCGGTGCTGGGTTCGAGTCTCAGAGTGAAAATCAACTCTGGGACGCAAGTACATCCAGCTGACGAGTTCGAAGTAGGACGAAACGCGCCTTTGGGATTCCACTGCTAGCCACTATCCATCGAGTAATAATTATTTTAATCAATACGTGTTATTTGTTAAACCAATGAAGTAGAAAGAAATCATCAGATCATTTTGTTCAATTTAAATTTCACTCTTGTGGACATTCATCAACAAGACAATATCAGAAAGAGAAGTTTGTGGAGCTTGTAGTAATTTAACAGTTCAATTCATGAGTCGACCACAGCTAGACCACTTCGGAAAAACCGGAAGCATTGTACGGCCGTTTAATTGTAGTATGGGACTCGTCAGTAGTACGCATCCACGATCCCTCTCAGGGATCATACTAGGACGAAATGGCTGTCCAATGCTTCCATGTTTTCCAAGGTGGTCTAGCTTTAGTCGACTCATGAATTGATCTATTCCATTAAACAAGACAATATCTGGAATGTTTATGTATTTTCAGTTTTACAATAATAATAATGATAATGATAACAATAATGTATACGAAATTAAGAAAAAGATG